TTTCCAAGGAGCGACTGGTGGATTTGAACTGCCCACATTTTGGTTAGCAGCTGAGTGCTTAACCACTGTGCCACCAGGGCTATATATATATGTGTGTGTGTGTGTGTGTGTGTGTGTACATATATACATGTATATGTATGTATATACATACATATACATACATACACACACACACACACACATACTATATGTATATATTGGAATCCTGGCGGTGTAGTAGTTAAGAGCTCAGGCTGCTAACCAAAAGGTTGACAGTTCGAATCCACCAGCTGCTCCTTGGAAACCCTATGGGATAGTTCTACTTGGTTCTATAGGGTCACGAGGAGTAGGAATAGACACTAAGACAATAGGTAATAGGTAATATGTATATTATCATGTTAATATATACAATCTAATAAATGTTCTATATAAGTAATATACATTATTTTACACAGAATTTAGAATTAATACAAAAAAATAAATAAAATACAAAATCTCTCAAATCAGGGAATAACTGCATTGCCAGAGTCACTAACAAATAGAATACTTTCCAAAGAAACTGATGCTTTGCTGATTACTTCAAACCTTTAATGTCATCACTTTTACCTTAAATCAGTATATTAAACTTTTAAGAATCTTCAGAATTGATATTATACAAAATCTTAGTGTCAAAGGCGAGAAAAGTGAGACTGTAATAAATTGACTTGGTTAAGTCCATATGTCTTCTCATTCATAGATCTGAGACTAAAAGTCAGGTCTCTAGTGTCCACTTATTCTAAAGAGGTTCATAGCCTTTTCAGGGTCATTTGAGACTTGAATTTTTAGTTTATTGATTGTTTTCTGCATAATACAAGCATTATAAACACTTTTATTATTAAATGTTCATCAGACGCAACCCACTGCTGTTGAGTCAATTTTCATTCACAGCGACCCCACAGAGTTTCCAAGGCTGTAAGTCTCTACAAAAGCAGACTGCCACATCTTTTTCCCTTGGAAACGCTGGTAGTTTTGAACCACTGACCCTTTGGTTAGCAGTCTAGCCCTTTAAACACTGCATCACCGGGGCTCCTTTTAGCAGACCCAGAGTCTGCATAGTCTGACTATAGGAGAACCAATCTCATATATTTATTTGACTCATATAATTTTTAAACCAACATTTGAAAATCAGAAGATTATTCCTGGTTCTTGGCACAAGAAAAAAAATCAGAAGTTTGCACACAACAGTTCAGACTTTCTGAAAAAAATCAGAAGGTATGGCAATATTAGACATTTCATTATCACAAAAGTCAGCCAGATACGAATGTTGCCTGCCCCCTTTGGACATGCATGCAATTTCCAGTTCAAAACAGCCCTCACTCTTTACACAGAGTAGGCTTATATAACTATACTGCATCTTTCTCACTTACTTGGTGTACCTGACTTCTACAGGAATTAGAGTTTGCAGCTTCTTTCCACAAGTAAAACTGAATTGAGCACTTGGATTCCTCTATGTCTTAGTTCAATGCACAAAAACAACCATAATCAATTTCTTCTGTTGAACACCAGTAAGGGTTGCACAACAACCATTTTGGAAGGTCACTAATGGAAGAGGATCTCTTTTTTTTCTTTCTCTATCCCCCTTGATTGGCAGCTCTGAGCATTATTCAGTCCTTGAAGTCATAACTTGTTCCCATCTAGTCAGTTCCAACTCATAGGGGTGCTGTAGTGACCTGTAGGGTTTCCAAGGCTGTAATCTTTATGGAGGTAGACTGCCACATCTTTCCCCCAAGGAAGTGGCTAGTGAGTTTGAATGGTTTACAGCCAAATGCTTAACCCTTGTGACACCAGGGCTCCTTTTTTGAAATCATATTTCCAGGAAATTCTCTGTCCTTAAAGGAAGAAAAAAAGGCAGCACTACAAGCAATGATATGCCTGTTCGTTTGTGGCCAATTTTGTGGATTTATATCAGTGTGACAGTGGTGCATGCTAGCTAATGAGAAAGAACAAAAGAAATCATTAATCATATTGCTCTCATATCAGAAGAACTGAAATAGAAACAGTATTATTTAAGTTGAAAAATCTGTGAAAGTAGATAAGAATCATTACCGCCACCAGAGGCTGGACTTTACCAAATTCAAGATTTAATTTATTTCATTATCACTGTAGACTAAGCTCCAAACTCTATTTTCTTAATCTCCAAAAGTACTTACTTCAAACAAACCAGCTACGAACCCAAGCTATTACATGAAGCTGAAGAAATCTCAAAATAGTGCAAATTAATATACAAATGCATAGTTTCCCAATTTAAATGGTCCCTTATGCTACTTAGCAATCTTTTTGCTATTCCTTACTAAAGTCCTTTTTGAACCTGGGGTCTCCCGGAAGTAGACCTTGAGACAAGAATTCCTGTGAAAGTGTTTTGTTTGGTGATTGTTTTCCCGCCCCACCTTGGTGGTAGGGGTGGGAGGATACAAGAAAGAAACCGAACCAGAAACCAAACGCATTGCGTTGCCATTGATTCCGACTCTTAGTGACTCTGTAGGACAGAGTAGAACTGCCCCATAGGGTTTCCAAGCTGTTAACCACTGGGCCACCAGGGCTCCCAAGAAAGAAAACACAACCAGTAAACCATAATGGTTGATAAAAGTTTAAGCATGTGGCAGAACTCTCTGATGGGGGCCAGGGAGCTGGGCATTTATACACCAGTTTCCAAGGAGTAATTGGTTGTATGCTGGGGGTGGTGACATCTCTCCTGTAACTTTGTCCTGCCTGGTGCTGGCACAGCTTCTAAGAACGGGGGTATGAGGAAGAGCACTCAGGGACAGATAAATATCCCTACAGTTGTAGGATCGCACTGACAGGTCTGAGGCACAGGACAGAAAGTATATGCCACAGCTCCCTTGACTATCCCTTCAAAATTTATTCTGAATCATTCTTTTTTCTCTCAAATGCCATTTTGTTTTTGTTCGTTTTTTTTTAAACCTATCCCTTTCAGTTTCAGTCAATGGTTTTATTTTTCTAAAACAGATTTTCTAAATGCCATTGGTATTAATTTCTTCAATTTACCCTCTTTCTTTTCAGTATTTACATTTGTACTCACCCATGCTTCATTAGGAACCCTGGTGGCACAGTGGTTAAGAGCTCAGCTGTTAACCAAAAGGTCAGCAGTTTGAATCTACCAGTTGCTCCTTAGAAACCCTATGGGGCAGTTCTACTGCCTACAGGGTCGCTATGAATCAGAATCAGCTTGAAGGCAACAAGTTTATGCTTCGTTAACTATCATTCCAGAAGAGTTTTGCCACTTGATTCATTTTTTATTCCCTTTGTATTGAAAATCCCACCCAACCAACCTTTTGTCTTAATTTTGTCCATCAATTACCATCTTGTCCTTTTGTATCTTTAAACACTGCCTCCTCATTTATTCTCTCTCTAGTCACTTCTTCTATATTAAAAGAAAACAAACAAAAAACAAGGAATGAAACCAAATTCCTCTCTGGACCCTGTCTCTTTCTGTAGCTATTCTCCCCCAACCCCTCTTTCTTTATTATCCTAAGATCTTTAACAAATTGACTACACTTACTTTGTTAATTTCGTCATTTCCAGTTTATTTCTCAATTCACTGCTACCTGGTTTGTAGTCCTATAATTTAAGTAATGCAGCTTTAAATGTCTTCTTCCTCCTTAAGATCTATTGAAAGTTTCTTTGTTGTTATTGTGTGCCATCTAGTTGATTCTGACTCATAAAAATGCTATAGAACAGAGTAGAACCATCCCCTAGGGTTTCCTAGGTTGTAATCTCTATGGAAGCAGATTGTCTCTCTCCCATGGAACCACTAGTGGTCGAACCACTGACCTTTTGGTTAGCAGCTAAGCACTTAACAATTGCACCACCAGGGCTCTTTTAAGGCTGGTTAAAATCCTCAATTTTATCCCCTAAGGACTTTTAAGAAGGACCCCTGGTGGCACAATGGTTAAGTGCTCAGCTACTAACCCAAAAGTTTGGTGGTTCAAACCCACCAGCTGCTCCATGGGAGAAAGATGTGACGGTCTGCTTCTGTGGAGATTTACAGCCTAGGAAACTGTATGGGGCAGTTCTATCCTGTCCTACAGGGTTGCTTGAGTCAGAATCTATTCGATGGCCCACAACAACAGCAGTAGTAACAATGAGGACTTTTAAAGCCTTCTCGGGATGTCTGCAGTTTCCCAGAGGTTCTACGTTCTTGATCATCTTGGCTCCAAACTCCCACCTTCCTCATTGATGAGTCCTTTTGAAATCAGATGACTTTCTCCATTCCAAACCAAACCAAACCCATTTCCCTTGAGTCGATTCCGACTCATAACCACCCTATGGGACAGAGTAGAACTGCCTTATAGGGCTTCCGACGAGCGGCTGGTGGATTTGAACTGCTGACCTTTTGATTAGCAACCAAATTCTTAACCACTGCACAACCAGTTCTCCATTCCATACTCATTAATTCAGAGGTGACTTTCAGCCCCTTCTGGAGTTTCTACCATTGCAAAGCAATACTATCCACTTATATAAGGTGGTTTCTACATGTAATAGGATTTATTGAAGGTTTGAGAGGGAAAGCAGTTTTTATATAACAACACACAATTTCAAACATACTATTAGACATCTCTGTTGCTGAAACTCTTAAGCCACCCCTCAACTGAGGAGTTTTTAACAGGTAAATTTAACCCACTTAACAACACAGCCTCTAGCCATCTTGTCAGCTTCTCTCTCCTCTTTGTGCTTACATTTCTTTTCTCACCTTCTCTTTCCCAGATTGTTCCCCAGAGTCTCAACTTCTCTTCAGGTTCAGCATTCACAAGCACTGGGAGCTAAACTCTTTTGAAGGGTCTAAACTGATATATTTTATCCCATTTAGAGACTCAGTAAAACAAAAACTCTTTCTAGTTAACAAGATCCAGTTTCCATTTATGGAAAAGTCCCCTCTACCCCTATTACTATGCCAAAGTCACTACACTAGTGTCCTACTACCAAATTCATGTGGCAATTGCTATCTTTATCTTACTAGATTTCTTCATTGCATATAACTCTTCTAAACACTCTGATATTCTTGAAAAGTTCTTTCTTAACTCTGTCTTCTCAAACTCCTCATGATGTCTTCTTCACAGGAGGCTCACGGACTTCTCTTTTTTGCCTGCCCTTTCCACATTGGTCTCCCACAGTCTTTTGCTTTAGTCAAGCTTTTTTGACTTCCCCTTCCTTTCTCTGTGGGATCTAATGCTCTGCTATGTGTGTCTGCATGTACGCATGTGTTCAATCTATTATCTATATGCAACTGACTCCCAAATATTGCAGGACATATGTCATCATTTATTACCAGTCCCATGTTTTTAACTGCCTACTAAACATTTTCTCAAGTTTGCCCTATAGACACCTCAAAATTAACACACCAATGTCAAACTTACTTTCTCTTCCTCTCGTATCTCAACTGAAATCTATCATCTATTGTCTGTTTCAAAATTGGACCACTATTTACTTCCGTCACTTCCAGTCAGTCTTTAGATACTGTCTATTCCAATTCTTAAACATTTGAGTCTATTCCCTCTTTTCCAGTTCCACTGCCACTGACTTAGTTCAAACTATAATTTTTTTGCCTGAAATTAACACATAATTAATTTTCTACGACTGCTTCTGTATGTTCAGCAAACTATTTTTATACGGATTTGTTTAGTTCTAAAATACAAAGCAGATTGATGGCTCACTTAATTAAAAGCTTTTAATGTTCTCCTATTGCTTATGCTTAATGTATAAGCCTTTAGTGTAGGTTACAAATAACTTCATTATCTAGCCCCAAAACTACTTTCCCAATCTCATCTTCTCCCACTACGCTGTGTATACCCTTGCTCCACTTCACTTCTGATTCTTTGAAAAGTACCGCTCCCCGCCCCACACACACTATTTCATCCCAGTGTCTTTTCACATGCTATTTTGTTTAATTGGAATGTCCCTGTCCATCTTATCACTTTTTTAATTTTTATTTATTTAGTTAAATCATCTTTTAAACTCAGCTCAGTATATACTCTTCACTTAATATTTTCCCTCCAATCCCAAGCAGGTTCACTTACTTCTCTATCCTCCTGTTATAACTAGAATATGCTTTTGTTATAAGGATACACATGTTATTGTAATTATATTTCACTAGACTTGCCTCACTTAGGGGTTTATTAGCCACGTTGTTTCTACTCTGGTTTCTACAGGGATTAGCATAGTGCTTGGTACACAAGATAGACTGATATATTTTGCTAAGTAATAATTACTGACCTGTTACTGGTTGCCATCCAGTTGATTCTGACTCATGGAGACCCTATAAAACAGGGTAGAACTGCCTGCATGGGGCTTCCAACGCTGGGATCTTTATACAAAAACAGATGACTATCTTTTTCTTGTGGAGCAGCTGGTGGGTTCGACTCACCAACCTTTTGGTTAGAAGCCGAGCTCTTAGCCACGTGCCACCAGGTGTCTTTTCATCTACATAGTCAGTTAAGAATCATTGAATACCTGTTTACAGAGATGTTAACGAGATGCTGGAAGAAGGAAATACAGGGAGGGAAAGGAGAGAAGGACTGCAGATATTAAAATAAATTTTATTAATTTTATTAAAATAAAATTTAATTAAGATGAAATTTTTGCTTTTCAAGAAGTGGATAATAATTTTCTCTTTTCAATTTATTAAGGGTGGTTTGCATTGTTTGCAGAACTCTTATTTAACCTGTTAACTGAAAACCATGTTACTGGACTGATTCCAGATGAAAATAGTGAAAAAGTCAATGTCATAAACAATGGAATTATTCGACAAATATTATTTGGGGTGCATTTTGTACCTTTGCAAAAATATCCAAGGACTTCTGGTCTGTCCCCCACAAATGCAATAAACTGTTTGATATTAAGTACACAATGAATTTGATTTTTAGTTAGTGTGGTTTTGCAAAAGCTTATTGGAGCTGGCTCTTACTTTTTAAAACAGTGCATTATTTTCAAAGTTTGACAAAAATATTTCCTTAAAGGAGAAAAGAAAATGCCCAAGAATAAAATTACTTAGAAATGATTCCAATTTTTGTTTTAGATCACGATGAATGTGCGATTTATGGTACATGCAGCCAGACCTGCATAAATACACATGGATCCTACACTTGCAGTTGTGTGGAGGGCTACATATTGCAACCGGACAACAAGTCTTGCAAGGTGAAAAATGGTAAGTTATGATTTTTTATGTCCTTCCAGAATTTTCTTGTTTCCTTTTTACAGTTCCTTTTAATTAGAAATGTAGTAGAGCAATATGGGCCTCAAACATAGATTTTCCTTCATTTTAATACACTGATCCATACTTAGAAATCCAGAGCAGTTCTTTCAATTGACACCGATTGTTACAAAACTCCTTCCATTACAGTAAGTTTCTAATTAGCGAGAAACTGTTCTAAAGAAATGGATTAATTGAGTTTTCCTTCTCTCTTTGAGAATACTGCAATAGATACCTAACTGGTTTCTGTGTGCTTCTGCTCTTGCCTCATGCTCTGCATACTAGTTAAAGTGATGTGCTAAAATATAAACTAGATCATGTCATTCTCTTGCTTAAAACCTCCAAATGACTTTCACTTACCCTAAGAATAAAATCTAAATTCCTCATAGGAATGATAAGGGTCTGGTATCATTTACCTGTCAATTCTTAATTCCACTTCACTCTCTTTTCATTGTAACACACCAGCCACACTGGTTTCCTTGTCCTTGTTCAACCACATTGTTCTTGCCATGAGGTCTTTCCACCGGGGCTTCAAATAGGTTCCTTCTGGTTTGAACCCTTGCTGAGAATTTGCATTTCTAACAAGTTCCCAGAAAGTTATATACAAGAATCACCTGGGGACCTTGTTAAACTATAGATTCTGATTCAGTATATCTGGGATTGAAATGCAAATTCTCAGCAGGGAACTTGTCAGAAATGCAAAATCTCAGCATTGGTTTGAGCTGGACCCCTTGGAAGCCCTGCTTTCCACTTGCTGTTCCATCTACCCACATTACTTTTCCTTATGATATTCAAATGAATGGCTCCTTGTCTTAGTTCCCTAGATCAGGCTGCCATAACAAAATACCACAAAATGGGTGGCTTTAAAGAACAGAAATGTATTGTCTCATAGTTCTGGAGGCTAAAAGTCCGGATTCAGGGCACTGGTAAAACCATGTTTTCTCTGTCTGCTCTAGGGGAAGATCCTTTCTTGTCTCTTCCAGCTTTTGGTAGCCACCCCAGGTGTTTCTCAGTGTTCCTTGGCTTTTAGATACATCTTCACATGGTGTCTGACTTCCGCCTCTGTTTCTCTGTCTCCCTTTTTATAAGACATGACTCGGGAAGGAATTAAACCCCATTGTATTCTGGTATGACCTCATATTAACAGATAACATCTTCAAAAAAGACCATATTTCCTAACAATGTCACTTTCACAGGTACAGTGGTTAGGACTTCATCATATCTTTTTTGGGGACACGATCAATCCATAACATTTTTCTTATCATTCAGGTCTCAGATAAAATATCAACATTCAGAATGACCTTCCTGGACCATTCTCTTTCATGGTGTATACTCCCTGCATCACTATCTTATTTCCAAGTTTTATTTATTTATGCATACCTCCTCCTCACTATCTCATTTCCCAGTTTTATTTTCTTTATAGAAATACCATCTGAAATTACCTCATTTGTAGAAGGAAGGAAGGAAGGAATTAACTTTTTTTTCCAATTAAAACTACTGAAAAGAGCTCTCTACAATTTAGTGTTTGAATTTCATGTTTCAGAATAGCTTTTATTTTACCTTTTATCTACAAATAAAGCCTATAGTTTCTACACAGTGTTTGGCCTGCAGTAAACACTCAGTACTGTTGATTTACTAATGAAATAGAGTTGGGATGCGCTAGTAACAGTAAGATAATGCTAATTTTTTTGTTGGCTGAATTAGCTTGGGAATAGAAACATATTATACATGCTATTCCATCTGGCTTCTATTAACTTCCCCAATATCTAGTTCCATTTCATGCATTTTTAAATTATGATGTATTGGTAAATTAACGAGTCCCCTCCCCCTTCATTAGCAATTAGTAAAATAGGCATGGGATGGGATTCCCTTTTCTGAAGCCAGAGTGAGTGCAGCATTGGATTGACTCAGCAAGCTGCTGCTGGCTCTGTTTACACATAACCTCATGGTATAATTTCCAATGATTTCCCTGAGGTAGTGTTTAATTATTTCTTAAAAAGCCAACAGCAATATATATTTTTATACAAAACCACAGAAAAAGAAGTGCTGTTCTACTTCTTAGTTTACTTCTTTGAGTTACTGACTTGGTCTGTGAAGCTCTGTTTATTTTTTGGGGACAGTCTTTGAGAAAAATTAGGTCAGGCTATATGTTCCACTTTTTCCCACTACTGAGAGTTATGATTTAAAATATTGATGGACTAAAGAAGTAGAAGGCTCATTCTTTGTTGTTTCTATTGATCCACACAATATTGCTGTGGATACACAGGGAGAGTGTAATGTAATAAATCTTATACAAGGAGGCACATCCTCCTTTTCTACATAGGGAGGGCATCTGATAATAATAGAATGTAACCAGAGAGGGATGATACCGGATAAAGTAATACTACATCAAGCAATTTGATGATTCTAGAATTGGTAATTGAATATACAAATACCTTCACCTCTAGATCTTTAGCTTGATTGCAGTATTGGTCTACATGGTTTATAAAATACACAGTCACTATGGGAATGTTGCTTTGTAGTTTAAGGAAAATGAGTTGCACAAGTCTATAACATACTGACAAGTTCTAAAGGTCACAATGGATTCTTGAAGTAATGTATTTGTGCAAATCAAGAGGAAACTGATCAGTTTACTCTTATTTATAACAAATTAATCAGAGGGTATTTTTTACTTTAGTTATCTGTGAAATTCTAGTTAATGCATCAGGTCTAAAATTTTGTGGCAAATTTATCATAACTGTAGTGTTCTTAGAAGGACCTGGTAGTCTACTTCTGAAAAAGATTGACCAATGAAAACCTCATGAATAGCAGCAGAACATTGTCTGATATAATGCTGGAAGATGAGCTCTTCAGGTTGGAAGGCACTCAAAATGTGACTGAGGAAGAGTCAAACTTAATGATGTGGATGGTGTCAAGCTTTTGAGACCTTCATTTCCTCATGTGGCACTATTCAAAATGAGAAGAAACAGCTGCAAACATCCATTAATAATCGCAGCATAGGATGTATACAGTATGAATCTAGGAAAATTGAAAGTTATCAAAAATGAACTAGAACACAGAAGAATCGATAATCTAGGCATTAGTGAGCTGAAATGGACTAGTATTTGCCATTTTGAATTTAACAATCATATGGTCTACTATGCCAGGAATGACAACTTGAAGAGGAATGACATCACATTCATCATAAAAAAAAAACATTTCAAGATCTATCCTGAAAAACAATGCTGTCAGTCATAGGATAAAATCCATATGCCTACAAGGAAGACCAGTTATTACAACTGTCATTCAAATTTATGCAACAATGAATAATGCCAAAGGTGAAGAAATTGAACTATTGTTAGCAACTTCTGCAGTTTGAAATTATCAAACAGGCCATCAACATACATTGATAATTACCAGTAATTGGAAAGCAAAAGTTGTAAATAAAGAAGAAGGATCAGTAGTTGGAAATTATGGTATTGGTGATAGAAATGACACTGGAGATCACATGATAGAAGTTTCTAAGACCAAAGACTTATTGACTGCAAATACCTTTTCTCAACAACATAAATGGCAACTATACACCTGGACACCACCAGATGGAACACACAGGAGTCAAATCGATTCTATCTGTGGAAAGATAGGATGGAGAAGCTCAATATCATCAATCACAACAAACCCAGGGGCCAACTGTGGAACAGACCATCAGATGCTCAGATGCAAGTTCAAGTTGAAGCTGAAGAAAATGAAAACCAGTCCACGAGAGCCAAAGTACAACCTTGAGTATATCCCACCTGAATTAAGAGACCATCTTAAGAATAAATTTGATGCATTGAACAATAATGACCAAAGACCAAATGAGTTGTGGAATGACATCAAGGACATCATACATGAAGAAACAAAAGGTCATTAAGAAGACAGGAAAGAAATAAAAGACCAAATTGGATGTAAGAAGAGACTATGAAATTTACTCTTGAATGTTGAGTAGCTAAAGCTAATGGAAAAATGATTAAGTAAAAGAGCTAAACAGAAGATTTCAAAGGGCAGCACGAGAAGGCAAGGTAAAATATTATAATGACATGTGCAAAGACCTAGAGTTAGAAAACCAAAAGGGAAGAAGATGCTTGGCATTTCTCAAGCTGAAAGAACTCAAGAAAAAATTCAAGCCTGAGTTGCCATACTGAAGGATTCTATGGGCAAAATGTTGAATGATGCAGGAAACATCAAAAGAAGATGGAAGGAATACACAGAACCACTATACTAAAAAGAATTGTTTGATGTTCAGTCATTTCAGGAGGTAACATATGATCAAACACCCATGGTATTGAAGGAAGATGTCCAAGCTGCACTGAAGGCATTAGCAAGAAACAAGGCTCCAGGAATTGATGGAATACCGATTGAGATGATTTAACAAAGGGATGCAACACTGGGGCTCACTCGTCTATGCCAAGAAATTTGGAAGACAGCTACCTGGCTAACCGACTGAAAGATATCCATATTTGTGCCCTTTCCAAAGAAAGGTGATACAAGAGAATGTGGAAATTATCGAACAATATCATTAATATCGCACGCAATTAAAATTTTGCTGAAGAGCATTCCAAAGAAATTGCAGCAGTACCTTGACAGGGAACTGCCAGAAATTCAAGCTGGATTCAGAAGAGGACCTGGAATGAGGGATATCGTTGCTGACGTCAGATGAATCTTGGCTGGAAGCAGAGAATACCAGAAAGATGTTTACCTGTGTTTTATTGACTATGCAAAGGAATTCGACAGTATGGATCATAACAAATTATAGATAACATTGTGAAGAATGGGAATTCCAGAACATTTAATTGTTTCCATAAGGAACTTGTACATAGACCAAGAGGAAGCTGTTCAAACAGAACAAGGGGATAATGCATGGTTTCAAATCAGGAACAGTGTGCATCAGGATTGTATCTTTGCACCAAACTTATTCAACCTGTATGCTGAGCAAA